CTTCTAAAGAAAAAAGTCTTAAAGTCATATCTTCAATTGTGGGTATTCAGCTACTTTCTTTTTAGATAAATGGATATTGGCTACTTCCTTGATTTCTGAATTAGCAGAAAAAGCTAGTTGCTTTGCACTTTACCCCCTTGTAGACTTGCATAGTTTTATGTGAGCATTGACTTTTTATGGACTTGATTATCCTGAATCATGCATGTGCTGGAGATTTCTTCTCTTCAAAGTGGATGATGGACCTGTAGAACAATTCATTATAGAAATGGGAGGGAGCGGGTTCCTTGGTTTGATTTTTTTGTGTAAATTTTAGTACTGCTTTATAGTTTATCAGGTTATGAAAACGTAAGTGATTTCTACTCGCAATTCTCTTACCAAGTATTTTTTTTGACAGAGGTCGTAATGAGTCTTGCAGCAAACAAGGGAACAAAGCTTGCCGTGAGAGATTAAGAAGGGAAAAATTGAATGAAAGGTATTGCCATGCTCATCTGAATTCTTGTTTTCTCTCTGCATTCAAAATTAGGTTTTGTCTACTATTTTCTACCATACGCAGCAACACCGATAATGTAGATAAAGCATGGATGTAGTTCATTGCAATTTTATAGCTGTCTTGTTCTCTGCTGGCTTGGGAAGTCTTACAAGACTTGGAGCTGCCATTGGTATAAGTTCTTCTAAGTATAGCTAAGAGTATCCAAAAAAGGTCATTATTCTGTAAGTAGGGTAGCCATTATTGTTACTGAAGAAAGAAGAGAGGCTCTTACAAACAGAATTATCATTTTTTAAGTGGCACTTAAATCACTTTAGTGTCAGTTATATTATGTCCTTCAAATGAAAATTAGGTGTTCTAAATCAATCTATTTGAATCTTGTCGAGACAGGTTTTCAGACTTATGCTCTGTTCTGGAACCCGGGAGACCTGTAAAAACAGACAAAATGGCCATACTTGGTGATGCCATTCGTGTTCTAAACCAGCTGAAGACTGAATCTGAGGAATACAAAGAGATGAACCAAAAGCTTATGGAAGAGATTAAGACTTTGAAGGTTAGAAATGATTTTGTTGAAAGGCTGAAGTAGCTTGTAAAATTTACGGTGACTGGCAGTCTTGAGTACTAACTCTTGAAGGGAATTAGAGGAAATTTTGGCTTGGTACTCTTGATTTCTTGAATTCCTATCTCTGATGCCCAGTGTACAATCTCACAGACAAAATCTTTTCTTATAAATAGGAAGAGAAGAATGAACTTCGTGAAGAGAAACTTGCACTGAGGGCTGACAAAGAGAGGATGGAGCAAGAGTTGAAAGCTACGGCTTCTCCAGCAAGTTTTATTCCACCTCATCCAGCAGCATATCAGCCGGCTGTAAATAAGATGGCTGTTTTCCCTAGTTATGGTTATGTGCCAATGTGGCAGTATCTACAGCCATCTTCGCGGGACACATCTCAAGATCATATGCTCAGGCCTCCTGCTGCTTGAGAATCTTGCAAGATAATGTATGGCATTTCCCCCTCCATTCGTGTAAATAGTGGCAACATATTAGTCTAGTTTTTACTCTCTTAGTCATCTCTGCCTCCTTTGGGTTTCCTCATTTTCTCGATATTTAATTTGAGGGAGGAACATGTATGGCAGATAATTTCTCTAGATGGAATTGGATTTGATTGACATCTGCTACTTTTGCCCGTTTAGCTCCTGCATTTTTGTTTGTCTCTTGCAATAGGTAGACATTCTAGTTTTTGCGTATCCAAACTATGTGGTACTACTGATTTATGAGCTTTTATGGATTCTTTATGATGCTGCAGTCAAGGGAATATCAATCCCAGGATTTCCTGGGGTATTTCAGTGACGTTTAGAACTAATTAACTGTGCGTAGGATTTTGTTTTGTCATATGGAGAGCTCCATTTACTGGTCAGGATTGGTGAACATCTTGATGCTAGTTAGTTGAATTGTGTGTGATTTGTCTAGTCTCTCTGCACTGGACAGAAATATGAATGATATGGGCTGCTGTTTTAACCTGCCACATCTTTCATAATTAATTGAACATCCAAACAAAATAAAAGAAAAAAAGAGTCTTATCTCTTCTGTACTTTGGAGGTGAACATATAACCCTTAATAATCTCTCTCTTAGGAGGTGTCTCTTCTTTCACCTTGTTCATCAGATGAATCCATATCTGCTATTCGTAACACATTCAGGTTGCAGGTAAATCTCTGTTTGACTATACTCGATTTATGTCTATTATTGTTTTACTTCTAGCATACTACTTCAGATTAGGCATGCAAGTCATCATGTTTCCCACCACATAAAGGAGCAGAGACTATCAAGGTTCTGCACTAAATTTGTCTGCATCTGATGTGAATTTCTGCATCCTAGGGTCTTCGTGATGCACTTCGTTAGTTGTGGAGCATTGCTCTTTCTCTTTCATTTCTGGTTGCTGATCTTCTTTTCCCCACAAAAGCAAGTACAGTCCAATAATGACAATTACTGCTCCAATGATGCTGAAAATGTTCAAGGAGGGTATTATAGTGCATGAATTTGATTCCCTTCTTTCCCAAAGAACAACATAAAGTGGAAAATGTTTTGCATTTTCCTGTCCTTCCTGTTTGAAGGACAAGATGGTAAGATTGCTTACCTGCCCGTGTAGAGCTTTTCACCAAGGACGAAATATGCTAGACCTGCAACTAGTACGGTTGAGAGTGGGTTGAACACAGTTACGAAAACTGGTCCCTTTTGTTCAGTGCACCAGAGTTGTATGTACACTACTAAACCAGAGATCACTATTCCCTATTCCAGTTACAAAGATTCTTATTAAAAGGTGCAAGTTCTAAATTGTTTTAGAGAGAAACTATTGGACTTGGACCCTTCTTACCCCATACAGAGTAGACCAGAAATCAATGTTGAAACCCATGGTCCAAGCTGTTCGTTTGTGTTTTACAATTACTGTGTAGAAAGCTGATTGTGCTGCACCAACAATGCTCATCCATGTAGTCAACGATAGTTGTGCTGGATATCTTTTCAAAGTGTAAGCCTGAAAAATTCCAGTGTAAGCTTGTGTGTGTTGTGTGGAGATCTCTCCTCAGAAACAGTAGTTAGTTCCTATATAGATTACTAGAGGAATCTGCATAATTCATGCAAGTCTTATGTTTGAACGTTTATTTTGTTGAGAATACAATTTCATGATTCATGATAGCTAATGTTGTATAGGAAGAGTTTTGGTGAAAAACCTGCATGATGTACCATATTGACCACGTAATGCAGCTAGCAGCAGTGAGGATCGAGCCTTTTAACCAGTTCTCATGGATAACACCATTCCCTCTGTGGATGTAGATGAGAGGATGTCCTAAGCTTTTCATAACAGGTCCTTTGTATAATGTCATGCTCATAACCCCAGCCAAGGAAACCAAAGTTCCTATGATTTTTGCTATTCCTCTAGGATTTCGAATGTTAGCATCTTCCAACCTACACCAAGAAAGAGCATCTATGAGCTGTGATTGCAGACTTGCAGTCATATCCTCTTCATTGTATTCATGATGGAATTGTATGTGTTACCTGAGAATAACTGCTAGTACAAATGTTAAGGCAGCTATAGTGTTGATCATCGAGGCAAGAAGAGTCGGAGAAGTGTAGTTCAAGCTCACAAAGTACATGTTCAGTGTCAAACTCATTCTGTTATGAAGGATATACTGTTAATATTCCTCATCAAACAACATATGAAAATTTGATGTTTGATAGATCTTACCCCAGTAGAGAGAGTACAAAGATCTCCAACAGCAAAGCTATAGTTAACTTTGGCCTTGTCTTTCTGCAGAAATCAACAGAAACATCAAGAAAACTGCATCTCTGCATATTTTTGCATTGGAAATGACTTTGTGATTTACCTTTCAAGAAAATAGGCAAAGGGTAGCATAGCAAGACCGGCAACGATATGCCGATAAGTTATGTAGACATGAGGATTCATTCCATGATTGAAGGAAGCTTCAGTTATGAAGTACAAAAAAGTGTAAGCAATTTGAGCCAAAACCATAAGGATGTGAGGCTTGAACCTCTTGTAAGTGCCTATGCTAGTCCCCATAGCTATCAATACTTTTGTTCTTCTATGACTTCAACTAAACTCCAACATTAAGCTGTTCATATAGAGACAACTGTAGAACAATGGGATTAGATACCAAAATATTTGTTCATAGTATCTTGTTCTTATTCATAACCTGACAACATCCTCAACACTGAAAGATATATTCACTTATTACAAGTATATGTCTTTCAGGAATAGAATGTTATAGTACCTTACTGACTCTTCAAAAATATCAACAGGTACGTATCAAACTTTTCAAAAGTAGTGTATTTTTGGAGAATCTTACAACAATGCAGCATCGAAAGTGAAGAGTATGTGCAACTTAGATTGTACCTAACTATTCTTGAAGTTTAATAGAAAAGAACATGTGATCCATGCTACACTCAACCATATCTAAAAAATCAAAAGGAGAAGAATATTGTTTTTAGAGATGCTAATTGGATATGTATTTGATGCTAATATCAATAATATTCCTAGCACCAACAAATATCCTTCTTGGTGATCAATATATTGTTCAACAACAATAACTACATTTCAGTTCCAAACAAGTTTGTAAACTAGATGAATCCTCATTTATCATGTTGTTTCATTTAAGTCCGCGTAGAAAAAAGTATTCTAGGATTAAAAATGTACTATTAATGCTATAAAAACTAGACCATCTTAATTATAACATAATAACAGTGGGAATGACAAATTCCCCCCACTCACTATGCAATTATGGCACTAAACCAGTAAACTGAGTCTTCAATCTATCCAACCCTTAATGAAAAAGTTAAATTGAGATGCATGCAAACTGATCCCCTTAATGAAAAAAGTTAATTGAGATGCGTGCAAATTGATCTGAATTTGAATTTTATGGATTCAAGTTCGCGATTCTACTAAGATAGTTACAAAGCCAAACAACATAACTATGATCCATGAACATTGTTGAGTAAAACTGTAAGACAAAAAAAATCTTCCTCAATTAACTTCAAATGATCGATTACAGTTTCTTCTGTACGGATGATAAAAGAAAAATAAGCATTCTGTAGTATCAGTATACAAAATGAATACTCTATTTTTCCTAATTTTTTCCCCTATTCACACTTCAAAAATTGGACAGTGACGAAATACAGCAGCAACAGATGAATGCAGCACCCTGTTGAGTCGTCTAACCAGCAGCCCATATCCAAAACATAATTAGAGAAGATATAAAAATCGATATCCAACTGAGGAAAGCAAACGCAACGGATAACTGGAACTTGGTGCATTCCTCGCCGAAACTGCAACTTCCCAAGTCATGAAAGTACAACACTGCTACGCCAGCTGAAGAAGCAGCTGCAGCGAGCGATAGTAATCCTGTACACTGCAAGTAAATTCATTCCAGAGAGATCGATAACAGATAATTAGTAAACGATATGTTTGTTGTGTACTATTAAAGAATACTGTTATACAGCAGAGACTAACCCAGTCTCCAACTACGAAGAGGCTCAGTAAAACATGATTGTGAAAAGACTTCTTCTTTGCCAAGAAATAGGCATCCAAAAATGCAAGTCCAGAGCTCCAGATGACTTGCAAAGCCATTGAGGCTATTAAGTAGCTGCAATAATGACATGTATATGAAAGCCATCAAATTTTAATGTTTTTAGTTTTATAAGAATGGTAAAATCTTGGAAAATGACAGAGCAATCAATTCGACATGTTGACAGAATGCAAGACATGCATGAGGCACTGGTGTCTTTTAATATGTTATAACTTGCAGAATGAAGAGAAGCTAGTTCATAGTTCAAGGGAGAGCACTTGCTGGAAGACACAAGGAGTCCCGAGGTTATAAAATAGCCATTAGTGCTTTATGAAGGGTCATTTAATTATTTTCCCTACTTGTGGTTGTTTCTTTGTTTTCCTCTCTTTGTATAGTGTTTTCACTAAAAAAATATTGGTTAAAAAGTACAGGCAAAAGACTCGATTGAATGATCCATGTCAAGCCTTATACGAGTCAAAAAGGCATTTTAGAAGCTTTTATCCCTTCACTAAATTTTAAAGCTTTATTCACGTATGGGTGATTTCTGATCTTTGGAACATGTTCTTATGCATTATTGGGTTGAAATGGGTCATGCCACAGACCATAAAAGACGCACATATGAACTGAAGAATGCTGAGAGAAGATGAAACCATCAAAAGGATCTGGTTAATGATCCCTGCTGCTATCTTCTGGAGCATTTGGAATGAGAGTAATAGGAGGTGTTTAGAAAATGAGATCAAATGAGTTAATTGGGCTTATACTCTGACCTACATTGTCAGATAGAAAAATCAGAAAGTATGACAGCTAGAATTCAGGCATGATTAAGAACTAAACTGCTCCGTTGGGAGTCATCTCTAAAGTCAAATACTGTAAGTGCTTTTAGATTAGGTCTGATGAGGTCATTATGCCAGAAAAGGACAAGGCATATTTCATTTCATTGGATATACATGGGCATACAATGATTTTTAAAAGGCCAGCTAAGACTTTAATAACAGTTTGGACATTTATAAGGCTCTATAGCGAGTAGTCACTTGGATCAAAAGAACAATTTTTCTTCTTCTTGATACCGTGAACCCCATCCTCAAAACTCACTACTGAGGAGCCAAAGAGTGGCTTTTCCTAGTTTGCCCCATGGCGACTTGAACCCCCCCACCTCATGGTTGTAAATGTAATACCCTTTCCACTTGGCTATCTCTCCCTTGTTGGATCAAACAACATTTTTAACTGGATTAAGACACAGAGGATACAATTACAAATTCAATTTTCCTTTACTCGTTAGATACAGGTAAAACATTACAATGTTAAACCTTATGAATATCCAGGTAAAACATGCTCTTTCAACAGATAATGCAGTTCTGGGTACAGATATGCCCAGGAAAATGCTACTATTTATATATTTTTCAGATAAAGATCAAAACGCCAAAAATAAAATAAAAAAATTAAAAGAAAAAAGGTTATTTGCTGAACCTAATGGCAAAAGAGCTATATTAAGAGGAGATAACTTTGTTATCCAAGGTTAGCCACTCCTTTTCATTTGAACCCATAAGAAAAGAGATATGAACCAATTATTATCTTGTTTTCTGGGAATTTGGATAAGGAAATTGAATCATTGTTGTTATGTTAATCAAGACTAGCATCATCCCTAGGAATTAATGGAGAAATTGTTGAAAGTTCTGATATAGCCTTCTTGTCATGAGTCATGAAAGTGTGTGGGTTTTGATATTGAATCATTGAGTTATGTTTAGACTAAGACAGACGTAGATCCTTGAGAAGTGGCTAGTAATAGTATTAAAACCAGGTTGATATGCTAAACAGTAGGTCGAGAAATTTTTGTTGGCTTCACAGACTGTTGTCTTGCTGATAAATAGAGAGAAAGATTTCAATGTTGCAGCAACAATGAAATGAGCAGAAAAGATGGGTGAGAGTTGAGATAATTTTGGTATGTAAGTTGAATGTTTGATTGCACACAAGCTCGAACATTGAAACATGAAATGAGTGCTTGGATGAGTACATTATCGCTTGGACTTCTAGTTCAGGAAGTGACTTTCATGGTTAGACGCCTAGACCATATGTATGATACTCTTGTAATGATTTTCAGATGAGAAAGTTAAAGAAAAGACCTACCGAGAACTCGTCTCTCCGAGATCAAATGTATGAGTGCAAATCATTAGGGGTGTATGAGTGCTTCAGTTATGCCTCTTATTTCAATTCTTTGTTAATTTTGCATATGTGAGCTTTCCAAAAACATAGTCCGTCCAAAGCTTGGACAACTGAGGAAAGCTAGGTTGGCACTCATTGTATATATAATCAAACTACAACTAATCCTTGAATAGAGCAGAACGAATAGAGTAGTGGTAGCCCGATAAAATTTAGGATCAAGGTCTAGTTGATCATATATGAGGCATGGTTGATTGTCCTTGAGGAAAGAAATAGCAAGGATGAAACTGATCTTCGTAAGGTTTTAAACCTCAGTGAACATGAAGCATTTGAAACTCATCAAATGTTTCCTGGCACTAGACTTCTTTCTGCTACGCTGGACATCACAATGATTAGTGACTATCAAGGTAAACACTCTTCCCGCAGCCTACAAACTAGCAAAACAATGACAAGAACTGCATCAAGATTTAAAAGAAAATAGAATTGACTTAGTTGACTCTACATTTATATACTGATCCAAACATGCATTACTCACCAAATTCAAGGTCCACACAGGAGAACTTAGCGAATTACACATGTTTCTTTGTTCAGCTTAGACCCTAAAGCCAAATATCATATTCATGTAGGAAAACATTACAAACAGTTGCTGGCACAACAATAAGTATGATAAAAAACTTTTGAGGACTCATTGTTCAGTAATTTTCTTCAGGATGCATATGTTATTTTCACCACTAAATAAAGAAATACTAGGATTGATCAGATAACAGAGAAATGCCATACCACAATCTATTCCCAACAACAGAATAAAACTTGAATTTTGCACTTCATTCATCCCAGAAACCACAAATTAGTTAATCAATACCAGTAAATTACACTAACAAAAATAAATGCAAAATTGAGAAAAGGAAATGAAGAAATACCAAAAAGCTGTGACATTGAAGAAACCTTTAGAGGTAACCATTGAGGCAATTGCACCAGCAGCAAAAAAGCACTGAGCCATCCTCAGAAAAAGCCCAGTTAAAGTACCAGGTGTGCCAGCAAAATCCTTCATTCTATCTCCTCAAACTGAATCAACTATTTACCCTTCTTGATAGGTTTAAAGCAAAAACCCAACAAAGCAAAATTATCCAAAGAACCTTTCTTTAACCATTTTTGAAGCAAAATCAAGTACAAATTGTATTCTTGATTAATCAACTACCAATTACAGCAACTTTCCAACAAAAAACTGAAGTATAGCTACAACCCCACCTTCAAGAATTACCAAAGGAATGTACCCTTTTTGAACAAGAACAAAAAAACAACACCAACTAAGAAAAAATTATCCAAAGAAGCTGTCTTTAACCATTTCTGAAGCAAAATCAAACATAAAGTTGCAATCTTGATTAAGCAACAACCAATTACTATGACTTTTCAACAATAAACTGAAGAATCAAGAAATCACAGTTACTTGCTACACAACCTCTTTTAAGGAAAAAGCCCCAAAAAGGCACCCTTTTTAAGCAAGAAGAAAACAAGAACAGCAAGTTACTTCAAAGATTTTGATATCCCAGATGCTAAAATCCAAAAATCTGATGAGAATTTGCCAATTCTTGGAAAAGGGTTTGATGACAAAGTGATAGAAAAGGGTGGGGTGTTTTGTGGAGGGGGTGGGGTGTGGGATTTGGTGGATGAAAGAAGAGAAAACAACTAGCTGGAAACTGGATTATTCAATCACCAGAATTTTCTAAATTGATGGGTAGAGTAAAACCACAAGCCACATTTTTGTCAAATGTTATTACATGGCACTTTCCCAATTAAAGAAATTTAAAATTTAAAAAAAAGATAAGAGACTTTGTTCACATCAACTTTAATTTCACACCTTGAGACAATTGTTGGAATTTGGAACTTGCAATGACCAACCATTTTTTTCCTTTGGGGTGGGGGTGGGGGTATGTGAAGTTTAAAAATATGAATATTTTTTGCAATGTTTCAAAAATTATCTTTAAAAATAATATATTTTTGTGAATTTTCCCCAAAGAAGTGAGACTCAACATAATAAAATGTTTATAATGTTTATTAAATATTATTCTCCAGTCCCATTTTATATGTCATTCCTTTCTATAAATAGCTAGACCAAAATACTTGCCATTTTATAAAATTTATGCATAAATGATCATATTTTGCCTATTATACCCTTGATAGAATAGTTAATTAATCTTGTTCATTTAATTAATAAAGTTGACTTAAGAAAACATTAAATAAGGGTAGAAGGATAAAGTTACATCATTTCTTAATGCAAGTGCAAAGTAAAAATGTGACATATAAAATGGGACGGAGGGAGTATCAAATAAGGAAATGTGTCTTTTTTTTAGATTGACTAAACAAATATGTCGTATAAATTAAAACAAAAAGTTTAGCCTGAATTACTTTAGCCGTAATACAATTTTGATGTTGTGTTTTTAAAGTCTAAAGGTCCATCCTCTCTTTTTATAGGTTTCCCATCGATCTAGGGTGTGTTTGGTATGAAGGAAAACATTTTCCAATTTTCTCATGTTTGGTTGGGTTAGATGTTTTGGAAAATGTTTTTCAAATCACTCATTTTCTAGTGATACACAAACTTCTTTTTCTGTTTATTTAAATAATTTTATGTACATAAATTTATGTAGAAGTTGATCAAATTTATACGATTAGAGAATAGAAATTGATTCATTTGATCGAAAAAGTCCTTTTTTTTTGTTCCTTTCATTGTCGTGGAATTTTCTCATTTTAGCATAATATTCAATTATGTCAAAAAAAATTATAGTATTTGAATTTTTCTTAAATTTTTAGTTAACAAAGAAAGGAAAGGAAAGGAAAGGAAAACGTACTTCTCCTTGTCATCATTTGTTCCCTTGGGACTCTTTTTCGTTCCTTTCATTGTCTGTGAATTCGAATTGTAGCTCGACTATTTTGAATTGCGTAGACCTTCATTCGGGGAGAAAGCTCCCTATCAATAATTTTTCATATCCAAAGTTCGAACTCAAGGGAGGAGCAGTCCCATCAGCTCTACCATGTAGTGGTCATTATAACATATTCAACTTTGTTTTTGAATTTAAGAATTGAATTTTTTTGTTTAATTTAAATATAGTTGAGAGATAAAAATTACTATATAAAAAGAAAAAAAAACATATACTATATTATGCATTTATTAATTTAATGCAAATATGGCAGGCAAAGTATTTATTTGTCCCCAATTTTCTATTTTGAGGGGCTAATAGGGATATTTAAAAGACCATAATTTTCAACTGCAATCAAGGCAAAGATCTGATCACCAATTCATTTTTTATTTTTATTTTTAAAAAAGCTCCACTTTTAATATCATGAGTGGCTTAAAGGAAGTTCCAATATTGACTTTTGATCCTACATCCCTACCTAAAAGATATTGACTTTTTTTTTATATATACTTTAAGTTTATGAGATTTTACAATTTGACAAACCGTTGAGCCGAGGTATTAAAGTTAGTTCTTTAAATTATAAAAATATCTACAAATTCGCTCCATATAATTGTGTTATGTATATTGTATGAGAAAATGGTTGTTCATTTTGTCACTCTCATCAATCTTGATCATAAATGTTAATCATGCCTTAACTTATTATAAAGATATTCTACTCAAGTTCGATTTAAAGCCTTTATAAATATATCGATCAAAGGTTTTTGAATCTTTTCATGTATAAAGTGACAATCAACTTCGATAAGAGGTACGTACTCACGAAGAAGATCCATGTTGGAAAAAAAACAGAGAAAAAAATAACCTTCTCTGCTTCTCATATCAGATTTTTTGCAAAGCCAAGAACATAAACATTGCTGCATTCCGAGCGGATTTGATGTAGATCGTCTACCCTGACATAAACATCGATGTAGAAATGATCATGTGACCCTAGGAGGTAATAACTATTTCCTATCTACATAGGTTAATAGAGAAGTGGTGAATAAACAAATGAAATGTGCATAAGTTTTGAAAATAAACAGCAGCATAACCAAAATAACTCAGTAGTCCTTGGTAAAAACATTATTGTGCAGCAAATACCAAACTTGGACATTATTCTGAATGAATGTTTTTAGGTTTTCTGAAGTATTATAGTGATGTTCATTGATGGTGCTAGGCGACGTGGTGCTCGGTCTCTCTTCACAGTCTGAAAAGATCAAGACCAGACTTACCAAGTGGCTTGGAGAAAAACTTGGTGATGTAATCACTTACTAGAAATTCTTTATATAATGGGAGGTTTTCTTCTGATATGAGCATGCCACTGACATCCTTGGTCCTACCTTATTCGCTACAACTCTATGGTTTACGCTTACAAACTTGTCATTCGAAAGGATCTGATGCATAATCAGACTGAGATAAGTAACAATGTGCTAAAAAATTTTAGATAAATGAGACTGAAAAGATGTGTTTTGTTGCAAACCTGAAGAAAGTCAACAATGTTAACAACCAAACCATGTTCAATCGGTTCAACATCGACCCATTGGTTATTATGCACAACTTGAAGGCCACCATTTTGATCTTGAAGCAAGATTGGGAAGAAGGAAGTATCTGTATGCTTATTGACACCAAGAGTTAGCTCTGGCTGTGGGCAGGCAGGGTAGTAGTGGCATGCCATTGCTTGTCCTTTGGCACATTCGATGGCTTTCAAGTGGTCTGGTTTTAGCCCAAGAGCTTCGGATAGTAAGTCAAAAAGAATTCCTCCTAGTTTTGTGACATTGTTTAAGTACTCAATGGTTGTTTTCCTGGACACCAGGAACATATCAGATATTACTGAGTTGCAACTTGCAAAATATGATAAAAGATTCCAGAATTAGTCATCTCTACCCTACCGTACTTGTAAAGCTCCATGAGATACACAGTAAACTTAAATCAGGAAGATCTATGTTGGAGAAAACCGATAAAAGTCAACATCTCTGCTTCTCTTATAAGATTTTCTGCAAAGCCGGGAAAATAAAAAAAGAAGGCATTATACAAAAACAAACACTCAAACTTGGTCTCAACTGACAACTAAACACTCTAACTCGTCCAATTCTATGCCTTGTGGACACCCGATGCTAACATGATACATAAATTTTGAAGGTGTCTAAATGATCATTTTGTAAGTTGGAGTGTTCAATTGACAAAGTGGACACGGGTTGAGATGTGCATACTCAAAGTTAAAGTGCTTGCTAGTTGAGGTCAAGTTTGAGTGTCTACTCATTTATTATGCCTAAAAAAACTATAATTCAATAGTTCTGACCTTTACCAAACAGATTTCAACTAGAACAGGACTGATATAGTATTGCAAATCTAGGCTGGCACTTTGATTCCTCCTACCTAGTTGTTTATCTGATCATCATGTGACCTTAGCAGATAACTATATAGAAATCTTGTGATCTCTAACATATGAGTGCATAGATTATTAAATAAGGAAGTGTTCTTAAGATTTATCCCTTCATCATGAATATGAGCCTTGTTTTACAGCAAATCAAATCACATTATTTACAGCAAATAAAATGCTGATATCTTTTCTAAAGGTTTATGTGTGATTTTTGCTGCTGCTTGGCGATATGGCGCCAGGTCATTCTTCTGAGTCGGAAATGATCCAGACCGGAAATATCAAGAGGCTTGGAGAAAAATTTAGTGATGTAATCACTAGCAATAAATTCTTTATATAGTGGAGTATTTTCTTCTGATATGAGCTCTTTGATTGGACAATATATCTTTGGAGGTTCGAAAACCTCAGTGAAGAAGCATGCTGCTGATATCCTCGGTCCTACCTTTTTCGCTACAACTCTATGATTTATGCTTACAAATTTGTCATTTGAAAGGATCTGTTACAAAAACAGACTGAGATAAGTAACAAATTGAAGATAATTGAGACCAAAAAGAAGTGTTTTGTTGCAAACCTGAAGAAAGTCACCAATGTTAACAACCAAACCTTGTTCAATTGGTTCAACATCGACCCATTGGTTATTATGCATGACTTGAAGTCCACCACTTTGATCTTGAAGCAAGATTGTGAAGAAAAAAGGATCTGTATGCTAATCGACACCAAGAGTTAGCTCTGGCTGTGGGCAGGCTGGGTAGTAGTGGCATGCCATTCCTTGTCCTTTGGCACATTCCATGGCTTTCAAGTGGTCTGGTTTTAGCCCAAGAGCTTCGGATAGTAAGTCGGCAAGAGTTTCTCCTAGTTTTATGACATGTTTTAAGTACTCAACATATGCTCTCCTGGACACCAGGAAAATATCAGAGATTACTAAGTTACAAAATCTGATAAAGATTCAAGCAACTGTAATCTAGCATGTCAAACTATTGTACACTTTTACTCTATTCTAGTAACCGTACTATTACTCTTCTAGTTCCTTTTTCTTCGACTTATGTTACTATGTGTTGATTCTTGTACTTCGAGTATAACATTGTTATGATTGTAGTTATTGTTGGCTTGTGTGTATCCACCACGAGTCAAGAGACCAGGTCCCTTAACAAAACCAGTAACCAAAGTTACTGAGTTAGAAGCTGAAAGTAAAGAACACAGAAGTTTACGTGGAAACCTCCTTGCTCAAGGGAGGAAAAAATTACGACCTGTCACACAGGATTTCTCAAAGCTCTACTAAATTTCAAGCAACTCGTAAGTACAGACACCAGTAATTACCAAACAAATTTCAACTAGAACAGGACTGACATAGTATTGCAATTTAAGGGCAGGAGAATACAGAGATACCTGCAAACTGGTGGTATTTCTTCAGGTTCAATTTGACCAGAAACATCCTAGCTATGTTCAACGAATCCCTCCAATTCGCGGTATTTGATTGGGACAGTTGAATTCTGCTGTGGTATCTAACTCTTCTCGTTGTTCTATCAAGCGAATAGTACTCTTTCTTTAACTCAGCATCTTGTTCATGAAATTTACGAGTCCCATCAATCATTCCTTCCAAAACACTTGAAGGAATCCCATGATTTATCAGTTGGAAAAAGCCCCACTTCTCTGATGCTTCCCTTATTTCATCGACAATCTTCTTATGCGCATCTTCAACTTCTAAGCCACTGATATCTATCACTGGAACCTGTAGAGTTGACTTTACCTGAATCAACTCCTCAGCAAGTTCATCAGTTGGCCTAATGAACATTCTTGGTATTTCCACAATTCCAGCATCAACTAGTCCCTTAACACCGTCTTTTGTGTCATCAAAAGCCTTTATCTCCTTCGATCGATCATAATCCATTGCTAATTCAGCTTGAGAATCTTCAGCAACAGACATAGTTGATCTTATTTTCAGGAAAACTACTTTTTTTTCCACGGGAAATAGTTAGTTAAAGACAACACATGCTTATAAATGCATTTTTTCAAATGAAATACTTCCTCATGTAGTAGTTTAACTTGAACTAAAGATACGTAATATTGCTATAACAAAAATAGTTTTTAGCAACAATAAATAAAGAGTGCTAAAGTCTTTATCATTATTAGTTAATTACTGTTGGATCCAATGTCGTTATACGCGTTAGGGATATTTGCAAAGAGTGTTAATTACATTTAAAAAGTATATTTAGCGACAATTAAGCTATTATCGTTGAAGATCATTTTTGGTGTAGTATATGTACCAAGATGTCTTTTAATCTTGTGGTCATAAACATGTCATGTGGAAAGTTGAAACTGAGGAGTTGTCAAAAAGAAAAATACAAATGAAATAGATTAAAATAAAAAGTTATATAAATAAATTAAAACGGAGGAAGTATTTCTTATGGTTGTCACATAAAGATCAAGTTTGTCAAATCTGTTGTTAGAAATTAATGAGTTTGGCATTTTTTTGGTCCCGCTATCACCTTGCGTCCCACTAATCTAGATTCACTTCTGGTCCCACCAAGTCTCAAATATTAAAAGAATACTTACCAACCGTCTATAATTTTTGTTGGTAATTAATGTAGTCAGAGGCGGAGGTAGCGAGGGGTTCATGCGAAGGCCTTTTAATGAAAAATTACAATGTTTATATATGATTAAAGTTATTTTTTTTATATATATATATATATATAGTAGATTTTAAACTTCTTTTGGCATCTTTGTGTGTATATTTAGTGAAAGTCATTGTATGTAGCGTCCGAAAATTAAACCGTTTATATATATTTAAAATTATATACATCTATATTAGATTATAAACCTCCTTTAATATCTTCGTGTGTATATTTAGTGAAAGTCATTGAATGTAGCGTCCGTAAACTAAATGAAACATGGTAGTTGGTACAAGTTACGTTAAAGATTTCAATTATTTTAAAACAATAAAAAAGTAAATTACACTAAATGCCCCTACAATATGACTCAACTTATTAGTTAATGTTATACTTATTTTTCAAAAACAAACATTTAAATCCCTTATATAATGAAAATCTTACCCAAAGGAATGTTCGTGTAATTTAATCAAATATTATAAAAAGTGAAAAGTTTATCATTAATTAAATTGTATAATGAATTAGCCCAAAAAAAGAAGAAAAGAAGTAACCTAATGTGTGCACCGTGCACCTTCCCCTCGACATTAGATTTACATGATTCAACTTCGTAGCATTAATAGAGAATTAAATAGGGACGGAGGGAGTATGTTTAAAAACTGTGTATGAGAGGAGAGTAAGAAACTCATGTATTGTTGGGATAATGAAAGAAGAGTCAGACCAACAAGGGTTATGGTGGAGTGGTAAGTACTTCTTTATCCTTAACCAAGAGGTCTCGGGTTTGAGTCCCCTTGGATACGGAGTCGCATTTGTTAGGAACATTTAAAAAAATATCACATGAATTGTAGCAAACTGTTCGTACAATTAATCAAGGTACACACACAAGAAGGGGTACTTGTGTGTCTTTGGGATTTAAGTAAGATGCTTGTGTAATATAAATCATATTTACTGTAATAACTATATAAAGATGGGAACACAATTAGCAATTGGGATAAGTTTTTTACTGATCTGATAGTGCATACATTATTATTATTAGAGGAGCAAAATGAAGGATACACAAGGGAGTATGTTCTTCAGATTTATCCCTTCATTTGAAAATAAACAGCAGACATTGTTTATGGTGATTTTAGCTGCTTCTTGGCGATGTGATGGTCGATCTCTCTTCATAGTCTGAAAAGATCAAGGCCAGTCTTATCAAGAGGCTTGGACAAAAACTTGGTGACATAATCAACTAATGGAAAATCTTTATATAGTGGGGGGTTATCTTCAGATATGAGCTCTTTGATTGGACCATACAGCTTCGGAGGGGTAGAAACTCCGTTGAAGAAGCATACTACTGAAATCCTTGGTCCTACCTTTTTCGCTACAACTCTATGAATTGCACTCACAAACTTGTCATTTGAAAGGATCTGTGACAAAATCAGATTGAGATGAATAACAATTTGTGAAAAAATGAGAACAAAAAAGTTGTGTTTTGTTGCAAACCTGTAGAAGGTCACCAATATTAACAACCAAACCATGTTCAATCGGTGTAACATCGGCCCATTGGTTATCACACATGACTTGGAGCCCACCACTCTGATCTTGAAGCACAATTGTAAGGAAAATAGGATCTGTATGCTTCTCGGTACCAAGAGTTAGCTCTGGCTGTGGGCATGCCGGGTAGTAATGACATACCATTAACTGTTTTTTGTCACATTCAGTGGCTTTTAAGTGGTTTGGCTTTAGCCCGAGAGCTTCTGATAGTAAGCCAAGAAGAATATCTTCTAGTTTTACGACATGATTTATGTACTCAAGGGATGTTTTCCTGGACATAAGGAAAAAATCAGAGATTACTACATGAGGACAAGGTTGATATGCACAGTCAAATATTTATATACAAGGTTTGGGCAAAAGGTACTAAGTTCCTGTGACCCCTTAAGTTATACTCTAGATCCGCTACTGGCAACATGTATCCACATATCAACTAGAAATAAAGATAAAACACTGTACTGAGGCATCAAACAGGACAGATATAGAATTGAAATTCAAATGCAGAAAACACAGAGTTACCTGCAAACTTCTGGTATTTCTTCTGGTTCAATGTAACCAGAAACTAGCTCAGAGATGTATAATGTATCCTTCCAGTTTGCAGTCTTTCCTTTTGTTTTGAACACATGGAGATTGCTATCATATCTAACTTGTCTGGCTGTTGGATCAGACGAATAGTACTCTTTCTTCACTTCAACATCTTGTTCATGAAATTTACGAGTCCCATCGATCATTCCTTCCAAAACACTAGAAGGAATCCCATGATTTATCAGTTGGAAAAGGCCCCATTTCTCAGATGCTTCCCTTATTTCATCAACAATCTTCTTACGCCCATCTTCAACGTGTATGCCACTTAGATCCACGACCGGAACCTGTTGAGTTGACTTGCACATATTCAACTCCTCAGCAAGTTCATGAGGTGGCCTAATGAAAATTCTTGGAATCTCAACTATTCCAGAATCAACAAGTCCCTTAACACCAGCTTTTGCATCATCAATAGCCTTTTTCTCATCCGATGGATCATAATCCATTCAGCCTGAGAACAAAGAGAGTACTAATTAGATGGTTGAATTTTCAAGGTAGGCACAAGTTTATTCAGACAAGGAAAGAAAAGAAAAGAGAGACTTTTGATTTTTACTCAGCTACAACATGAAATGAAAGCTTGTGTACGTTCATTAACGACTTTCGTGATTTTAATATAATATAGATATAGATAATACATCATCATTCTATATTATAAGTGCGAAACCTCTAAGTTAAAAGCTAGATTACCAAAATATTGAAAGAAATATACTAGAAAGGATCGTGAGAAATTTTCTGGATTTTGTATTTCTTCAACTTGGGGACTACAAAGCTGCTGTACAACAAAATATATAGGAACTTCCTAGGGATTGAATGGTAATAAAATAAACTAATGTACCTACCTAGTGCATAGCATAAAAATAGCACATGTACTATTTCCATAGCTCTAAAATATCTGTACATGTATATGTATTTACAAGGAAATTGTTCAATAATATAGTTGGGCTTATGTTCTGATCGAAAGACGCTTCTCTCTTTGTTGAGCAGATTAAGTCACCGGGAACAATACCCTTCCACCAAAAAAAAATGAGATTTTTTAATAAAGGGTTGTAATGTCTTCCAATACTTACTAAGCTTTAAATTATTTTGATAAATGTGAAATAGGAAGACTAAAGAGAATGTTCATGGAAACTTTTGGTTTTCTTTGGGAAGGTGTTACAGACAATAGTCCTTTCATTTCTTTATTTATTTTTTAAAATGCCTACTGACTTTCTAAACTACCTAACCTTTCCTCTTCTCCAATTTGTCAAGTACTCAATTAAAGGGTAAGATAATAAATTGAATGAAAGATGAAAGAATTATTTATGAATATATCATATTCTTATTCTATATCCCATCTGTTTTTACAAGTCAACTGGTTGCCAAAAATATATCATAGGATATTTTTAGCAAAACAGATGAACAAAGTGTATATTTAAACCTTTTGCAATAGTTCAAGGTATTTTTGATCTTTTTCCGCAGATAAAGGGAATGAAGAGAAGAGGGGAACACGAACACGGAACACTCATAAGGAACAAGCAACACCACTGCATCACATATTAGTTTTTCTGCAAAGCTAAGAACACAGTATATTTACGAGTCCCATCAATCATTCCCCATGATTTATCAGTTGGAAAAAGCCCCACTTCTTTGATGCTTCCCTTATTTCATCGACAATCTTCTTACACGCATCTTCAACTTCTAAGCCACTGATATCAATCACTGGAACCTGTAGAGTTGACTTCCCCTGAATCAATACCTCAGCAGGTTCATCAGTTGGCCTAATGAACATTCTTGGAATTTCCACAATTCCAGCATCAACAAGTCCCTTAACACCGGCTTTTGTATCATCAAAAGCCTTTATCTCCTTCGATCGATCATAATCCATTGCTAATTCAGCTTGAGAATCTTCAGCAACAGACATAGTTGTTCTTATTTTCAAAAAATCTACTTTTTTTCTCAGGAAATAGTTAGTTATAGACAACACATGCTTACAAATGCAATTTTTCAAATGAAATATTCCCTCATGTAGTTTAAAAAAGGCGCATGGTACATAAATGTGACCCTTAACTTGACTTCAGCTGACAACTATGACCTTTAACTTTGGGTGAGCACAAATAGACACTTAAACTTGTATAAAATTGAACAAATAGACACATTCGTCCTAACTCCTAAATGACACCCTACATGGTAATTTTGTGTCTTACGTGGCATCCTACATGTATTATGCCATGTAGGACACGTGTGTCTACTTGTTCAATTTTATACAAGTTTAAGTGTCTACTTGTCCACACTCAAAGTTGGAGGGCATAATTGTTCGCTGAAACCAAGTTAAGAGTCATGTTTACGTATTATGCCTTAAAAAATTAAAGAACACTATCACTACGACAAAAATAGCTTTTTGCGGCGATAAATATATACATATTAACAAAAAGAGCTAAATCTTACCGACATTAGTTAATTGTTATTGGATCCAACATCGCTGTAGACTTTAGGGACATTTGCAAAGAGTGCTAATTATCTTTAAAAATATATTTCGTAGCAATTAAGCTATTGTCGTTAAAGATCATATTTGGTATAGTATATATACTAAAATGCCTTTTAATCTTGTGGTTATAAACATATCATGTGAAAAGTTAAAACTAAAGAGTTGTCAAAAAGAAAAAAAAAGAATTAAAATAAAAAATTAGAAAAAAAAAGTTAGACAAACAAATTAAAACAGAGAAAGTATCTCTTATAGTTGTCACATAAAGATCAATTTTGTCAAATCTGTTAGAGTCCCACTAATCTAGATTCACTTTGGTCCCACTACGACTCACACTATCAAAGGTGACTCTCTAATATTAGAACTCAAACCTGAAATATCCTAAAAGATTAAAAAAGTACTTACCATCCGTCTATAATTTTTGTTGGTAATGAATGTAGACAGAGGCGGAGCTAGCAAGGATGGAGGGGTTCATTCAAAGCTCCTTCAAAGAAAAATTACATCATTTATACATGATTAAAATTAATTTTTTTTATATATACAATAGATTTTAAACCTCCTTTAACCTTTTCGTGTGTATATTTAATGAAAATCATTGAATGTAGCGTCCGAAAACTAAATGAAACATGGTAGTTAATTGGTATAAGTTACGTGTAAATTACACTAAATGCCCCTATAATATGACTCAACTACAAATCCACCCCATATTACGCAAATCCAATACAAATACATTATTAATGTTATACTTACTTTTCAAAATCAAACATTTCAATCCCTTATATAATGAAAATCCTATCCAAAGGAATGTTCGTGTAACTTGATCATATCATCATCATATCATATATCATATCTATATCTATTCTATATTACCTTAAAAGCATGAACTCCTAACTTGAATGTTAAATTACTATATTATCCCTAACTTAGGTTGTGACTTTTTCGATGAGTTGTGACTTTTTCGATAAGTTGTGACTCTTTTCGAAGGGTTGTGATTTTTCGATGAGTTGAGACTTTTCCAAAGAGTTGTGACTTTTTCAATAAGTTGTGACTTTTCCAAAGAGCTGTGACTTTTTCAATAAGTTGCAACTTTTCCAAAGGGTCATGACTTTTTAAAAAGGACATGACTTTTCAGATAAGACACAAAATTTTTTGTTCATACTACCCTTTGTTGACTATAAATAGAAGGGTTTCCTCTCATTTTTCAACCACAATTTTTTTAATCTTCTACTCTTCTTCTTCTTGCATTTTATATTTTTTTTGTGTGATTTATTATCTTTGAGTGAGTTCGAAGTTTAGCGGAATATGAGGTACCACTATTCTGATGAAGTAAGTCGTTCTATCCTAAGAGGGTATATTCCATAACCTCGAGTACTTGAGAAAAATAATTTTGATGATATAATAATTATTTTTTTCCTTTATATATATATTAGTATGTAATGTTCCAATATATGAAGTTAACATGATGTAGTCTAAACTCATTTGTTTTTGTTAACAATTTCTCTTGTGATATAGATATGTGCTTCTGAATATCTTTTCCAAAATTTAGAGAATTGTCACGATTTATTTTTGATGTTCAAAGACAAAAGAATGATTTTATTTATCAATGCTACTTATGTGATCTAGACTCTCATGAAGTTTGCTTCAAAATAGTTATTACTATATAAACATTGCCCTTTTGTTTTACTTATTTACTATTTCTTAATATTTCAATATTTTAGACGAAGAAAAGTTTATAGGACTACTAATAATGCCAGTTGAAGTTTGTATTACTTTAATTTTTATTATTTATTTAATAGTTAATTTTATTAGATAAATATTTTCATTAATGCAAATATATATTTATATTTGGGAAGATATTTGTATATAAAATAAAGTATTATATGTCACAAATGTATTATCAAGTTAACAAGATCTTCTAACTTCAAAATATATTATTTTAAAATGTTCCGAGTTTTTTTATCTAAACATATGGTTAGATGACAAGAAAAATACAAAGCCAATATTGTCTATAGGGTAATATTAGTGAGATAAAACTAATTACATGATTGAACCTCATTAAATTGAAATAAATATATACATTTTTGCATTTAAGTAATAAAAAATTTCATTGACCATCTTCATAGGTTTGCGTGAATAAGAGATATATATGACGATCCACGTTGAACATTCACAAAAGAATCTACAATATTATTTTTTGCTAAGCGTATTATTCAAATCTTCGCTTAAATAAGCAATACTATTTACTATAACATATATTTTGAAATTGGTAATCACGTGCAACAAACGTGTCATAAACCTAGTATTATTAAAAGTGGGAAGCTCCAAAGATGAAAAGTTGGATTGCCATTTTACCCCTAAGCTAAATTAAACATCTAGTTAATTAATTATTAAATAATATTATTTTAATTATTTTTGAATGGTAAGTTATTTATTAGAAAGGTTATGTAGAAGAACAAGAGTCAATTAGAACTTCTAGAATTTTAGAGTCATATGTAATTGGTAAAATAATTAAGGCATAATACATAAATTGGACCCTAAACTCGGCTTCAAATTTTAAGTATGACCTCTAACTTTCATAGTGCACAAGTAGGCACTTTAACTATCCAATTCTTAAACAAAAAAACACGCGAATCCAACAACCAAATTGTGTGATATACAAACGCTCTTACGTGGCTTATTGAGCCACTCAGTGGCTGTCACGTAATTAAAAAATTACACGTATTTTATAATTAAAAAATAAAGAAATTAAATTACAAAAGGGTAGGGTCATATTTTCTTTTCCCAACCCAACCCCTACCAGCCCCTCCAACCCCAAAAAAAAATTGAAATTTATTTTAAAAAAATATTTTCAACTTCAAAATTTCTTTTTTTTCACCCCTACCTCGACCCCTCATTAAGGGTAAAATTGTCATTTCCGCTTCTTTTTTTTTTACTGTTGTGGGCCTCGAAAAATACCCCTGACGCGCCTGAATTGTGTCTCAATCACGCGTTATGTCAGGTTGGATTCGCGTGTTTTTTTGTTTAAGAATTGGATAGTTGAAGTGCCTACTTGTGCACTTTGAAAGTTAGAGGTCATACTTAAAATTCGAAGCCAAGTTTAGGGTCCAATTTTGTATTATGCCAATAATTAAAACTGAATAATTGTTCTTAAATAAGTACATGAATTAAGGTTTTTCCCCTTTTAATCTTAAATTAAAAAATATGAAGAGTTGCAGCTAAATCAATATATACCATTACCAAATGCGAATTTGTCATCTTGGGTTCTTCCACTAGCAGTTCTACGTACTCCTATGGTAAAGTTCCTTCTTTTCTCCTCTTTTTCCATCTTCTATTTTGATCATTAATATTTTTTTTTCAAACTAGTCTATCTATGATCTGAGATTAACAATAGAGTGTATAGCAAGTTTGACATCTTCACTTTATTTAGAAACACCAAAAAGAATTTTGAGGAAGATGAATTCATAAGGTTAGAAATATCAAGTATGACTTCTACATTGTCCTACCATGACTAAGTCTGATTACCTTATATTAAATGAATCAAATTCATTTGATTCGACATTTTTGTGCTTTTTTATAAATTATATTTGGAAGGTTTGGTTCATTGTTTTAAAGTTACACACAAGACCGCTCTAATATTATAATGTTATAATTTCACCCTTGTTTTCAAAGGAAGAAAATAGTAAGATGGATTCAGTGAGGTTAAGTTGATATTACATTTTAAAATAATATTTATTTAACTTTATAAGAGTTTTTATTTATTGAGGTATGGGGTACAAAGACTAGTATTATTGAAAGTGAGAAGTTTCAAAGTGCAAAGTTGAATTACCATTTATTCCTACACTAAATTAAGTATATATTTAATTAAATATTATTATTTAAATTATTTTTTGGATGGTAAGTTGCACGAAGATAAAAGGAAGAAAATAATGTCTTGCTCCAAATTAATTTAGCAGCAATTATTAATACGTAATAGCAATATAAGTCAATAACCATGAAGTGAGATAGAAAAATACCCCCTCCGTCCCTTTTTGCTTGACAAATTTTGACTAGACACACTTATTAAAGGAAAATTTACAGAAATCCACCTTTTAGTTTGCTTATTACCATTATCCCCTATAAGTTTTATAAATCTCCAAAATCCCTCATTTTCGTGCATCAGATTAGTGTATCTCGCGCATTAGATTAATATATCAACGCTTATATTATTGTATCTCGCGCATCAAATTAGCGTATCATGTAGTGTATCTCGCGCATCAGATTAATGTATCAACACTTATATTATTGTATCTCGCGCATCAGTTTAATGTATCAGCGCTTATATTATTGTATCTCGCGCATCAGATTAGTGTATCGTTTATAAAATGTAATGTATCTTACTTAACGATTAATGTATCTCGCACATCAGATTAATGTATCAGCTCTTATATTATTGTATCCGTTT